GCAGTACACATACATCTCTGCGGAATACATACAATACAACACATGAATAAGGTAACTAAGTCACAGAAAATGAGGGTAATATGTAGTGCCTTTGTATGGAGATTAATATCCAAGAGCTTTCAATTTGGGCTCGCCCTTTGTTGGCGTAACATCTTGATCTGTGAAAACAGCATTGAGCTTTAAACAATGATTTAACTAAAAAGCAAAATGACTGACTGACATAGCTGGAGAAAAAGCTTTAGGCAGGTCCAAAAAATGAAAAAACAATGGAAAAACACCATCTGTTCATTACAGTAGCGTCAGATTGAACGGCAGCTGTATCGGGGGCAGGCTGGTGAAGAAGAGTTGAAAGGATGTATAAGGAAGGACCAGAGACGCTCAATTGGGAAACTGGGCTGTTGGTGGAGATGCACTTGTTATTGGGCGAGTGGGTGAGGGTTTGAGGGAAGATTATAAATAATAGGCTCTGTGGTTTATGTAAGGCTCCAGAGGGTTCAGGGAATGAGGACACAAGGTGCTCGTGGTTAGATAAATAGGTTGACAGGGTCAATGGCATTGGGACATGTGGTTTTGTTTTCGTATTAGAGCAGAAAAACGGCTGGACAAATGATGCGCTATGATAACGGAGAGGACGAGTACAAGGAAAGAGGAAGTTTGGGAGAATCCTGAGCTGTAGAGAATGTCGTCGGGGTGGCTGGTTTGCAGGGCAGTGTGTGAGGGGTGGCTTGCTCTGTGCCTGAGTGCTGCTGAGGGGGTTGAGGGGTCCTCGGGGAGAGCTCCAGGCTGCCCACAGAGATGCCTGAGTCCGTGCTTTGGCTGCGACCGCTGGAGGTGCACGGGTCCTCATCGGGCTCCGCCTCTTCCTCCTCCTGCAGCCACTTGAGTTCTGACTCCTGCAAGGGAAACGACCTGCATTCCCATGGCAGCACAGCCTGCAAATGTAGAAGATGATGATTCATTGAGGTTATTAAACTCCAAAACACCAGGGTTTATTATATGCGTTCATATTCTCTCACAATGTAAAGAATATTAAGCATATATATCTTTCAGGATTCAGAAAACAACCCCCAAAAGAAGACTCAAGGATTTAATGATTCATGGAGAAATAGAAAACTGCAGACGTTTTTTTTTTAACTACAGGATGTTCTTCCAACTAAATAATTGTCATGGTTACAGCAATAATGAAGCTGAACGGAATGTTAAGTCCTCTTCCTCTCACACACACACCTGCTGTTCATCCTCAGTCTGGCTGAAGGGATCCTCCACTCCAGTACAGAAGGGGCTGCGTGGCGAGCCGTCTCCTTCTGCAAAATGACTTTGCCTGGAATCTGGAGAGCCAGGTGTCTGCTCCAATCCCCTGGAGCTCTTCCCATCCCCATGGAAGGAGGAAGAAGATCTGAGAGAGGAAGTCAAGCAGAGAATAAATTTCAAGCAGTGACCGCAGCGTCCTGCAGTTTGACATACTTCATCTAAAACTATTTTAAAACTACCCACTGTTTTATGGCCACATATTAATTGACAGAGTGCATGAAATGGGCGCATATGTGTAAGCTTCGGTACCAAGCTATGCTGTAAATTTTAACCTACATTCTTGATGTTGAAAAAATTCAACATCATTTGTCATTTGTCAATTACACAAATACATATTATTTTATGTAAAAGTCGTGATGTGACATTACATTAACCATTAATGCAATCTACTGCCAACTTCTAATGCAGAAATTTGGGGTCTGTACGATTTATGGTTCCTGAAAGAATGCACAACAAGGCTGCATGTATTTGATCAGAAATACAGTAAAAGAGTTATATTGTGAAATATTATTGTTTATAAAATAACCATTTTCTGTATTGATATATTTTAAAATATAATTTATTTATATATAATTTATTATTTATGTGATGGCAAAGCTGAATTTCAGCAGCCTTTTTAGGCTTCTTTGATTAATAGAAAGTTCAAAAGAACAGCATTTATTTAAAA